AATCTGCTGGGCAGTTTACGACTATTATGTGGTGGCGCAAGTATGAGCTCGCTCACCTTTTCAGATGCGACAATTCAGGTGTATCCGGCGTGCACTGGTGATGTAGTAACCACACGCCTGTCTCGCAGGTCAGACGTCCGGAGCTCAAACCTCCGTACGGTTAAGGATATACGCTACTGATTCGCTCTGTTCGGAGTTGAACTCGAATTCAATGTTCGTATAGTTCAGACGTCCGGAGCTCAAACCTCCGTACGGTTATACGCTACTGATTCGCTCTGATCAGAAGTGAACTCGAATTCAATGCTTCGTATAGTTGGTGTGAATTCATTAGAATACTTGAGTTAGGGTAGAAGGACAACATTTCAAACAGGAATTATATGAATGCAAATTGTATGAGCCCTTCAAACATCCACAAAATTTACTACTTGTTGATGTCGTAATGTCAAAGTTAGTTGGGAGTTAAATTTGGAACGCTCTCAGAAGGCTTACACTCGCCGAGGTTCCTTAACCTGGTTGGTCCTGTCATATGCATTTTGACAACACATAACAACAAGAAATTTCCAATCCAAAGACGCTTTGACGGCACCGTTCAATGAACAAAATTACAGTGAAGCTCTTCTGGAGGATTTGGAGCAGTGCTTGACCCGATATCGCTGCCAATCGACAACGGAAGTGCCATAAAACTACACTTACGTACCAGTAGTGGGCTATGTATACTTGCGGTTAATAGTTCCGACAAAATCCACAAAAACTTTAACCCCATCAGCATGAAAGCTTCAACCGCCAAGGGTTTTGGTGGGCTGAAAAAGCACAAAGGAACTCCGGCCTTTGACTCCATATTTAAGGGATCGATTTGATTCAGTTTATGATCAAAACAATCAAGGTAAGAATACATATCTGAGCACTGAAGTTCCTCCTTCATGTGAAGTTTGTTCAGAAACTCTGCTCGCTTCTATTCAAGCACCAGCACCTAATATTGTGAAACTCGATGTTGAGGCAAGCTGGAATCACATTAGTCATCACCATGACTTGTTTCGGTCTGATTTATTTACGACCTTCAGTTTACCAGATCCAATTCATGTCCCCATTCAGTCTTGACTATATAGTTAGTTTCTGAGGACGATGATTTCATCCTTTGTTCATATCCTGTCTGTGTCGCCCACGGTGACATTGCCTGAATAATAAAGCAGTAGGATTATGGCTAAACAGACAGACAGGTGAATCTGTACTTCCTCCATACTGTCGTTATCCTACGCACTAACAGTAAAGTCCGGTGAATTACGACCTGCCTTACCTATCGTTTTCCGACGACTGGATTGTTTTTCCAGAGTTAGTAATCAGAAGCAAACCGACAGTGATAAACGAGCTCACCGATTTCGCTGCTCCGTAGGATTTATTTCGTCTTACGTACAAGCAGTTTATAATTGCGGCCAACCACCTAGCTTCTACACTTACAGTTACTGTGTTTTGTGAACTCTGATTGCATTCGGTAACGCGTTGATCCCGCAGATGTTGGCTTGAACAAGGGCAAGTAAAGTTACCCTCTGGTGTAGTGTGAATAACTATTATCATTTTTTTTGAAGACTCTGATTGCATTCGGTAACGCGTTGATCCCGCAGATGTTGGCTTGAACAAGGGCAAGTAAAGTTACCCTCTGGTGTAGTGTGAATAACTATTATCATTTATTTTTGAAGAGCATGGTCACAAACATAAAAAGTGAGTGCAAGCGATGAATGCGAAAGAGTAACAGGAGAATATGGGAGAAAAGAGAGAAACGTCTCATTCGAGATCATGCCAAGAGCAGTGCCAGTCTGATGAGGTGAATCCCAAAGTATGTAAAGATTTTGGTATGGGAACACGCGTCTAAAGACCAACAACCAAAGAAAGGACAAACAATGGTGAATGCTCTTCAAGGCGCAGTGTGCGCTAGCACAGTCAAGACTCGCACATCAGGCACGAAGTGACCGTCATACTGGGTCTGGTGTGGGATTAAATGGCAAAAATGTACCTTCAACGCCATGTGCCCACAAAGTAACCCTACTTCTCCTCTATAAACATCAAAGTGGTCTAAATATAACTGAATCGCTTGAGTTAACGTAAGCATTTTTTATTATTGTGGAAAGGAAGTAACCCTCACGATAAAGCATAATACGCTAGCAGTCTGTGAAATTCAAATAGAGCCACCACGGTTTGGCACAAAGTATTTAAAATTCTGTGCCTTATCACCAGCAAAGCAATGTTTTTTCATATAAACAGTGCTGATACACACTACATCCGGAAGTTTACAAATGACTGTCAATATCGATATCTACATTTTCCTTGAGGAATGCTTTCAAGAAATGTGCTGCAACTGATAGATTACTGCGAAATCGAGTCCTTTTTCGAAGCGGAGACGAAAACACTGAATCGGACTGAAACTGGATGCAGACGTGAATCAACAGGATAAAGCATGTTTCTTGAAGGCCAGATGAAATGACATCTAATATTGCTTGACGGATAAATTCGCCCACTGACACGATTAGTGCTTGAGGGTGTACAAACACACTAGTGTACACATGGGCACTAGCATACCCTCTGCACTTTAAGACGTGACAGCCACTATCCAGCTTGTCTGGCTCCACAAAAGAAGTCACTAATAATAAGATCTACTTTGAGGATAGACACGTTGGAACTGTATCATTGGCCGAATATCTGTTCTCGCAAGCCAAAGGACGTTTTTTTCGGCACTCCTGTTTTGTAGTTTGATGAACCGCTNGCACCCAACACAACACAAAGTAAAATCTCACATTGTTGTGTCCTTGAAAGACATTCGTGTAACTTGAAATGGTGTGGGTGGTGTGACATATTTCTACCATTTGTTACCTGACTTTTATAGAGTAAGCTTCTCAGGCAGCAATTTGCAATAACTGGAACTCAACTTCGGTGCCGACCAGAGACTATAAGCACTCATTCCATTACTGGTGAAAGGCGGGAATCCCTTCACCGCGAATTTGTCTATTAGCGAACACTAACTACTCAGTTGCAAGCTATGGGACAGGAAAGTAAACGTATCATATGCACGTAGTTACTAAAGACTGAACATTCTCCCGCGTCCTCTTGAACCTTCATGATTATTCATTGATCATTGCACATTTATAAGCGAGCACTATAAGGCCGTCCCACAAATTCCGTAATAAACTTCACCTTCCCTTAAACACGGAGAGAGATTCGGCACGACAACAGACTACTCTCATACCTCATCAGTAGTGTACGCCATCACGCCGATATAGGATACCCACGCCCTTGTACCATGATGTCAACTTGAGTTTTCCTTTACTGTGATGCTCTTCTCTGGTTGAGTGGAGAATCAGGTCATTCAGTGCTGTTATCATTCTTCGGCCAGGAAGCACTTCCTGCAGTGAGCACTGGTTTGCGGATGTCACTTTCGGTGCTGACCGATAAGCGCGTCAAAACGTGTCCAAAAACTCGATAGACTTCCGTCTTCCCTCAAGCATCCACAGCATTCATTTTCACACATGTCTCCAAGGTGTCCTAGCTGTCTGCTTACCTGAGAGTGACATGATTGACCTCGATCATGCTGAGTAGGGAGCATGAAATTAGGGAAATTTTACTGACGTGAACTGAGGACCATTCTCACCGGCTATCGTTTCCGAAACACTGAATTCAGAAAGTGACAGTTTAAAGAAGAGGCGGAGGTTGTTTTTGAAGTTGCGCTTTTGGGCTATATGTTTTGCGCCGTCTTGATATTAGCAGGGTAGCTGACTTCACTATTGGTCCTGCTAGAAGCACTGCGTACGGGACCATCAGTTGCTTGAATCTGGCCAGAGTTATAGTTCACAAGCTCCCAAGCCATGGCACGGTGATGTGCAAACGGACTTATCTATACCTTGTTTCGTTCATTCTTGACTTTTTACTTAGAAACTGTTTTAGAACTTCCTCTAACAGATCTACAATTGCCATCAGATCTTATAACATTGTACCCTTATCAGACTTTCGCTTTTGGAAGTGTTCAGGAAAGCTGTCAACGTTCGCCTAAAACAAACAACATCGACGTATTTTATGATACACTGTAATTTCAAATCTTTGGCTACATCATCTCTTCAGGCCTCCAGTAACCCTAGGGTTTGACATGTGAAAGGTAACTCTGACATCTGATTGTGCATTAAACTCAGCTGTCAATCTCGACAGTGTGTTTGCATGTCCAAAATATCAGGTTCCTTCGGGCCGCTGCTAAAATTGCATGCCATTTTGTTTTAGCCCAAACTTGGAACCTGTAGGCTGTGTGTTGTGGAACAATTGTTTTTGTGCAAAAGGTTAACAACTACCGTCCGATACCATCTCACAAGATATCTGCAGCGAAACTACCTGTCATAGTAACAAGACGTCGGGGAGTAGAAGATTCCTGATTTCTTCAAAAGCTTTCCGATATTCTGAAGACCAAGCTCAGGTTGCATGCACTGATAAGACGGCGTTTGAATGTCTCGTTATTCATATACCCGGAGGGAAAGTGGAAATGGACTCAGAATGAGTTGCAAGCTCGTTTTGTCCTGTAGTGCATGAGAAGGAAATCGCCTGGTTCCGGAAGGTGAAAGTCACTGTTTCTCAAGATCACTGTCTGAACAAGTTACCTGAGACTGGAAGACAAAAATGGTTACTTCCAGCTGCCCAAAACGGAAAAAGCCCATTCCGGAATTCTGTGAAACAATTCGCGTGCATCACTCACAAAGTACTTTCGAGAATTTATCTTTTGGGAAATTTGTCCTTATGCTTCGCAAAGGGTACTGAAACAGTTCGAGTGTTTCGCTTAGTTGAGTTGGAGAGTCGGCACAAAAGAACAGTTATTAGCACCCAAAACAGAAGGCACCCAGTGCGACATCACTTCCTCCGGTCCAGCGAATCTTAGGACAAAACCTTAATGTACGTTACATTACGTACATTACAAGTTCTCTTTCATTCTGGTAAATACTAGAGTGCCTGAGCTGGAAATGCAAAACAACCGTTCAGCTGTAACACCCTTCGGTGCCTAGCTTCCATACCATCCGAAGGAAGCATGAGGGCTGGGATACAGCTAGGTTGCCCAAGCCTAAAAAGGTGATGTCGAGAGGCAGAGGTCGGATTCGAATACGGGCCTTCCGGTCAGTAAATTCGCGCTCTAACCACTGAGCCTTCTCGCCCCGAGCTTGAAATCTATCAAGTTATGAATCATTTTTGTGAACTGACGATGACACATCGATAATCATAATTCGCCTATCACTGTTTTATTTCGTTGTGTCCCCAATGCTGTTGACCTCTACATTCTATAAAGTCAGTCTCCTAGTTCAGGCATTTTCGAGTGGATTAAAGTGAGTGTTGCAAACGCCTATCTAAAAATTGTTGAAGGGACTCAGCTGGTGTTTCAGCTCAACAATTGAAATATTTCGCCGCAGGCAGCAACCTGAGTGATTTAGGTTCTTGTTTTATATGGTGGTTTTCTCGGACAGGTTCACACAGAACAAAAAGCGATTGTATTGTGCAAAGATATACACCAGCAGTCAAAAAGGAACATTGCCAACGAATACGACGTGACACGCTCCCATGTTTTCTGCGTTTTTATTCGAATCAAGGACGACGTTGATGTCACATTTTGTTCGCGGATTCGGGGAGTGCTAGGTGCATTCTGAATATGTGTGACTTGGTTGTTACAACGGGAAAATCTGACAAAATGACATTGACCACAGTGCAACTGCGCGGCATGTGAACTTTGCAAGTGTGTGAGGCCAACAAGATTAACGAAGCAAAATGTTTTGCTTCTTGAAAGACTGCTGCTCATTGATTGAAATTTAAACTGTTCTGCAACACCCTGTCCAAATTTACATGTACGAGAGTTTGGATACTCGTTTTAGCTGAGGATGTCAGACCTTGAACAAAGACCAACAACTTGAGCTGCGTGTCCTTGAGCTGGTTGAGCCGGAAGCGCTTGGGCTTCCTAGTCAATATATTGGTATACATAACGATAGATTTCGCTTATTGATTTGCAGTTTTCAAGCGGGTATGCATTCATTCTACATTTTCCGTTCCTTGACACGAGTACCTTGGATTGGTCAGCTGTTTGACTGTTTCGCCTAGTTGAATCTCATCAGGTACGTGCGCTCACGGATTCCCATCAATCCTATTTGGTTCAGTCGACAACAGGTTTTCCTCTCGTTGGGATTTCTTTCACCTTAGCATTTATTGAGCTACCTACTTGACCCGAATTTCCGATGATAATGTTCGGGAAAATTACCTATATTACTTAGAACAGAACCCCAAGAGTGTTTCATCAACGGTATAAGGGATTGCTGAAGAATTCGTGGTCGGACCCCAGTAGTCTCGATCCCACGGGATATTTTCTTCCTTTTTAGGATTCGTCAGCTGAGTGCTGATGGGATCTGTCACAAACAAAAGGCTACGCCTGACTGAGCTTTTTAGGACCAGACAACGATATCCGGTTATGTTCAAGGTATATTGTTAAGCTATCAGCCGGTCCTGTGTAAAAATCTATAACTGATTCGCTAAATAGTCTTGCCATTCACTAGAATTTAGATTGTTGTCATATGGCGAGTGCTCGGTAGGACAAACTTCACCTTTCTCATGACGCATTTTCCGAAAATTTCCGGAACTTGTGCTTTGAAGCAGCTGCTTATCCGCAAACATGAAAACGAGCCTGAATCGTCTGAGTTCTATTAGCTTGTGATTTTCTGCGCCACTCTGTATGTGGGAATCAGTGGTATAAATGAAAACGGGTTCTCCTCTTCTCAATGTGCACTGGACTCTGAATAACGTCGGTACCCGTGTCCTTTAGTACAATATGTGGGAATCAGTGGTATAAATGAAAACAAGTTCTCCTCTTCTCAATGCGCACTGGACTCTGAATAACGTCTGTACCCGTGTCCTTTAGTACAAGTATGGTTACAGAACTCCAAAAAAGTTTAGTTTTTCTCAGTGACTATGGATTGTTTGCGTGTTTTAATTTGTGTAATTTGCCCGTCCAAGGCGGAACATACCAGTTTGCGAAGATATGGTGGCGTCTTTTCTGGCAAATAAAGCTGTAGGGAACAAAATCACAAAAGTATCGGAAGCATGACAGCTGGTCTATCTAAACAGCGTCCATGCGATGTCAGTCCCAAAGCCACCATGTGCCTTTTTCGGCGATGAATCGATAATGGCACAGCAATCGCCTCCGTTGCTTCAACCACCTTTTGGCGCGCAACCTCAAAATGACTCGGTGGAACTCGTTAAACCCCTATGGACAATTTCGCCCGCTGAACCTAGAGCTCGACATTGATCAGGCTAGCGTTGGTCGCACAGGTCACATAACCGACCAGTTCTCAATTATTCTGTAATGCGTTGACGAATTCTGCCGGTATTACGAGTCGTTTGATGAACAGGGGAATCACAGACCAGTGGTCCATTCCTGTGGTTAACGTTGAACAGTGGATCCTTCAGTTTACGGCATTGACGGTGTGTTCCAAAAAAGTGGTTAAATGACGAGTAAGCATTTTGGAAACTACGTCACTTCTAAAAGGCAGATGGTTGTAGATAAGTTTCTCAGGGCTCGTGGGATTCTTAGAGTTCCAGTTCTCTGGAACAACCATCGATCTTTTTATAAAATGAGATCATTAAAAATCTTTAATTCCGTGTGACGTGATAACATATACTGTTGTCACAAAAACCTAATGCACTCAAGAAAATTCCGATCCACCTTCAAGTCAGCTTTTTTGGTGGCTCCATGGTATTTATTATTCTCACTTTTGCTGGAGAGCACCAATAAATTATGCAGATGTTACGAAAGAACGCACTCCCCGGTATCAACTATGCTTTATATAGAACAAAACGTTTATCGAATTTATTATAAGTGAAGTGTACTCGTCCGCACTAACTCACGAACATTCACAGCTTATAAGCACTGGTAACCTGGCCACCATTGCTTTTATTTCGTGCAGTGCGCCTTGTTTCATAACGGCAGATCGGAATTCAATGGTTTTTTTGTGTAGGTCAGCTGTATGTGCTCTCCATATCCCTCGAACTGCATGGGGCGACACTTATGAAAAATAATGCCCAGACAAGTCAAAGTTGGTAGCTAAACTGTGATTGATGTTCGGCTTGTTCGCTAGGCCTAGCAGTTTGATCGCGAACGTCTCGTCAGCAATCGCCGGCTGCTTAATTGTGACACGTGGGTGATGTAGTGCATCGTTTAGTTGCGCCGTGTAACCGTTCGGCACTGCAGCGCTCAACCATATGACCCTGTGACGCACCGCTACACCGCTTCGTACTGATAATACCAGCTTGATTGTTACCGAAACGTTCAAAGCGAAATTGCCGTATATATCGTTCAGCTGTAGCACCCTTCCGGTGCCTAACTGCCATGCTACCCGAAGGAAGCACGAGGGCTGGGATACAGCCAGGTTGCCCAAGCCTAGACAAGGGAAGTCGAGAGGCAGAGGTCGGGTTCGAACCACGAACCTTCCGGTCAGTAACTTCGCGCTCTAACCACTTGGGTCATCTCTCCCGAAATTGCCGTATGGCGACCATCAAATAGTAAAAACGTTAAGAAGACTGTTTGGCCACTCGATGACAATTCGATTCCGACTACCCTAACATTTAAAAAAAATCGATTGTGCGCCGCTTAGTTGAGGCAATCATAAAGGTTCAGGTAAAGCATCTGAGAAACAGCTTCGATTCTGGTTTATGTAAATATAACCATACACAACCGTTAGTCTTATTTCGGTCGAAATCCTGATCGGTCATGTAAGCAAGCACTTGTGGGACTAACTGGCGAGGCCGGCCTGAGCCATAGTGAATTGGGCCATATTCACAATTTGCCGTCAAGTTATAACAATGCGTCGGTACATTTAACACCCGAACCCACTCGCCATTATCCTAGAGCGTAAGTTGATAGATACGATGTGCAGGTATTAAGCAGACTTCTCAGCCTCTCACATCGTATCTTGCATTCCTCGGTCTGTTTGACGACGCCTCCAAATCCCGAAGGAACTGAGGACCTTCTCCCTCCTCATTTTCAGCACCGCACACAACGTGCGCTACAAACGTCGTCATTTATATCAGACATGCAATTAACCGATTCGAAAGAATTTGCCTTCCCATGCCGTTTGTGGTACTCATTTCACACAACAGACGCTGCTAAGTAGCCTATAATTAGGGGCTGTATGTTAAGAGATCAAGGCACGCGGTCAAGCGGTTTCTTTTCAATTATAGAATACGGTAACTACACAAAGCACCCAGATATACTCTGTGTGATATGGGTAGTAGTATGTGGTTTAAAGAATGGAATAAGTAAAACTCAGAACCTGGGGATGAGTAGTTCTTTTGTCGTATATCACATTACATTTTATTGGCTGTGAACAACTGTTAGTTTGATCCATTGAAATAAGGATTCTAAGGGGCAAAGTTCGAACGAAGCTGCAAGTTGGAGAATTAAAATAAATTAAAACCATCCAAAATAACCAACATATGTTCAGGTGGTGCTTTGAAATGAACCCCAAAAGAGCAAAAGCATTGGTCAGCTATTGAAGAGTTCGCAAACACCATGTATCAAAGAAAAGTTCTGCGATACCTTAACGGTCAGACCAACCGAAGCAAAAGGTGGACTTTTTCAAACACATTAATTCAATGAATATCGTGAACAAGAGTCCTACCTAGCAACATCTTAGCTTAAAAATAAGCATTTAATTCAACTTTTCTCTTAAGTGAACCTCCAAAGCAGTACAAGCCAACGGACCCAAGAGGTTAAGTCGAAACCAAATCACTCGGGCTCATATGACTTCGCGATGTCTCATTCGACTCTCTACTGTCACCACACCAATTACTGAAATGAACGATAAGGAAACCAGCGCCAAATGTGAAGGAGAGTGTGTCTATCCTGTTCATCTCGAGTTAGGTTTACAACCATGAATGCCCGTGTGGAAGCACCTACGAGTATAACGGAAAGGCACATGCTAGTTCACATCTCACAACACGTGCCCAATTCACTAAGCGAATTGGTCAATACAGTTCTAAAAACTGCTTTAACACATATATTTGCTGTATCAAATTGAACTAGCAGACGATACCCGTTCCAGACTGTCTGTCACAGTACCACTCTTGCCCTCGGCGGAAAATACGAGTATCCTGTTCTTCAAAACAAATCTATGTGCTCAGGATAAATGGTGTGGGCTCGGCCTTACCGCGGTAATGCGCGAATGTCTATCCTACCCTATATCCAATGAATCGGATCTCCTTGCCTGATGTCAGTGTCTGTTTTCCCATTTGGCCTGGTCTCATACCTTTCACGCAATTCGCTATGCCTCAAACTTTACCAAATTTCACCTAATGCCATTTTTCACCTCCAACATCGAATGCTCACATCTCTTACAAACCCGTTTTCGTGCTAAATGGCTCTTTTCTCTGGGTATTCAATGTCTAGGGCATGTTTACTCATACAATAGTAGAAATTCGTATAATATATCACCAAGTTACACTAGCTCGAATAATCCCGTCAAAACTTTGTTTCCTTTTGGCATCTATTTGGAATTTCGCAGCATTTTGGCTGATGCTGAGCAATCCCTCCGAATATGTAGGCCGGCCGGTACCATTTTGGAATGCATCCTCCACAACTTACGGTTTAGAAACATGCTTAGTTACAATTTTTCCACCCGTTCGCCGAAGTGAGCCTCGAGTGTTTATCGTAATCAACGTGACGGTCTAGGCCAATGCGGTCTTCCAAGGCATAAAATAAGCACCAATTACATACTACTTACGCTACGTCTAAGTAACCGAATTGTCAGTCTTTCCAGATGCTCGGTGTGGTAGAGGTTTCTACCGAAAAACGTTTCAAACCGAAGTTACGTGAATTTCAGTGTGACAACTGAAAACTGGTGTGTACATGTTCACAATCGTCAACAAGCGCGGACCATTTAACAATACCGGTGGTGGACTGTCGGAGAGTTTTCAGCCATGCCTCGAGTGCTAACTAAAGTAGACTGTGCAGCAAATTCAGTCGAGTAATATCATTAACGAAAGATTCAGTTGAGCGCACCTCACACGTAACTCTTAAACCACGTCAGAAGCGCATGTTTGCACTGCGTCTGGAAGTACTCGGTGACACTGAATTGTAATACAATGCAACAAGTACCTTTTCCTTGGAAAAATACACTTATCTATACGGAATTTGATTTCCTGCAGAATTTTGCTGATCATGCAGATGTGCGGGAATATTCTTAGTGGAACTAACACACGGGGGAATCCTTCATGAAGAAGCGAGCGACTGAAACCCCGACATTCTGGGGTTCAAACTATATAAATCAATTTATCGGTAACTATACTGTGAGACTGCCACTAAACGACAGATCATGATGACCTCGTGGGACCCACGGAAAGACTCCGCAATCTCCAGACTAGCAGCTATCACCCTAGATAATTTGAAATTTATTTGAACACTGTAAAAACTCAACACACTACTCATGATTTTGCTGAAAACCCTTCGACAGAGTAAGAATTGCAGCACACATGGGATCCAGCTGAGTCTCTCGTCAAAGTCAAATTGATGTGCAGATAGGCATTGTCTCCTTTGATTACGAGTGACTGATCAGTAGTGTTCACTCACATGCAGACGGGATATAGCATCACTCTTCTCTCACCATGTCCTTCACGTCACATGATCTGGTGATGAATGGCTCCAGAGGCGGCGACTTCTCATCTAAAGGTGCCGTGTGAATTTAGGTCTTTTAACTATTCTGTTTCACCGATGATTCTCATGCTGCAAGCTAGCCGACGTACGCCGCCGAACGATGTAAATACTATCGACTCCTTGTTAACAACGTTTCACTCCAGTAATAGAACAAGTTGGTTCATTCAACACGATTAATCAATACTAAAACAGTGCCTCTCTGTACGGCAGACTAAGTGGCTAATGACTCGTTTGTTCTCATTCGGTTATGTTGTGCGCCGAAGAGTTCCTTGTCAGCATACATTAGTTTCGTAGTCAATCGGGGAAAAAAGAGTCCCATCTGACTATCCAGTGCAACCGGCAATTCAACCTGAACATATCACGCCTGTCTTATTTTTCAAATGAGTTTCTGTCCTGTCAGCTAGGTCAACCTATGCTGAAAAACCGAGCAATGTACAGCTGTTTCATCCACATTGGGAATCATCAGCAGTGCACACATCCAGGGTGTTTCAAACCCGCAACCTTCCAGTTAGTGGTTGAACAATTAACCGTTCGGCCTCGAGCAGCTGGTTAGATCTCGCTTATTTCTGAGTCCGGTACGGCAGTGAAGCATCCGTGCCAACACTGATGTTGCTGTCTCTGATGATGATGATGATCTGAGTCCGAAAACCCAGGCATCAAACTGACAAACCTAGCGTTCTTGAGCCTATGCTACCAAAATCACATCCTACAGAGCTCAGGAAGGCAGATCAACAAATGCGCACATTGTCACCATCGTCATTGGTGGGAACAGTATCTCGGTTTCTGTAATGAACACTTGGATCATTGCCCATGACTGTATTTGTTCGTCGAGAGACTCTAGTAACACAATCCGTACCAAGTAATTCAGTGAGTGAACAAAGAAAAAGGGTGAAGCACGATTAAACATTGGAAAAGGATACGCGAGAAAGATGCACAACGTGGGAGGGCGTAACCTAGCAGAGAGAAAGCAAACTGATGAAATAATGCTCTTTCTTGTTTCTCATATTCTCTTTGAGTTGATGCAAAGTCACGAGGAAGTCAAAACAATAAAAGGAATGCATGTGTATTTGTGCTGATGAAACAAAGAGGAACAAAATAAAAGTAGTGAAAAGATAGATGGACGGCGACCACAACAGTAGGGACGAAGACAACGACCAACGAGACGAAAATATGTCCCCTAATATTGTGTCTGAGACGACGGAAAAAGCGAGAAAAACAAAATTAGCGAAAAAGGACAAAATTTTCATTCTAAAATCGTTCGTTGTGCGCCCAAATATGCATGGTTGTGCTGGGTTGGTGTCAATTTCATCCGACACCGTAATGAAGCTAAATGAAATAAGGCGTGCATATGAAAGAGAGCCAAAATTAAAGACTGCTGCTCAGACGCACACTTCCCACTGTAGCACAGCAGTATCCTTGCCACCGGTCGATATCAGTCTGGATCCATCGTATAGAAAAGCGACATTTGTCACGTGACTAGAGTGCCCATTGTAGGCATGAAACTCCGCCTGAAAACAGAAAAGGAACAAAGAAGCAGGTGGTGAGTCAGATCGCCTAAGCTGCCATACCACTCGAAGGAAACACGAGGACTTAAATACTGTCAATTTGACCAGGAGTAGTCAATATGCTGAGGTTGGGTTAGAACTACGGATCTTGCTGTCAGCAATTTAACCATTGAGCCATCTCAAGCTCACTCTGTCAGCTGACTAATAAACTTTAGGCCACACAAACAGAGCTTGTTGTAAAAGTTTGAGGAACCATCGGTAGATTTATTGTTGGGCAACGTTTCGCTTTGACGCAAAAGCTTCATCCGGACAGGTGACTAGGTTACAAAGTTGGTCGAGATTTAGGGTGGAAGGAGAACCAATCAGCTAAGTCAGGCTAAATCGGTGTCAGGTGTCGGCTAAGGGATTTGTTTGTTTGGGTGGGTCAGCAAGTGTTAAGACCGATGGAGAACCTATGTGGATTCGGATCCAGTTTAGGGTCTAGTTATTCTAGTTCGCTTCATGTGAAGGTTCCCCTTGAACACCGTTTGCAATTTTTGTCCGTCTGTGTGGATGAGCTAGTGCTACCATAGTTCTGTACAGGAGATGGATTCCATGAACTTTGGTCGGGTTGAGATTCCCAGCCCTTTTTTCCCACTTATTCTACGTACACTGACAACCCCACACCATCACATGTCACCTCGGCTCATCTAAGACCGCTCTCCATACACTGCTCAGTTTTACAACCACGATTTTATTCACGCTGTGATGTTTGGTGATTTCCACCGCCTCGGCCATCAGCTGCTGTGGTGTGAATCGCAATCTCTGCCTTAAGATTTCTACTTTCTCCAGATCTATTGACTTATGTCTAACGACTGTACCACCACCGCTGAGTCTTTGATCAGCTCTTGCTATTCACCCGCATTCCTTGGAGGTTTGTTTATCCTTCCCTTATGCTCGCCAATTCTGGCGTGCACTTTCCTGGCAGTTTGTCCTATGTAAACCTTAGTGCAATCATTGCATTTAATTTTATACACACAGACCCTAGTCCTTTTATGTTTTCATTACGCACTTTCCAGAAGAAATTCCGTATGTACGGCTCCACACTTATGGAGCTAACAGAACAAACAGGCTGCAACTATAATCTTCCAACTAAAGATTCCCAGCCTAACACACCCGTACGTATCCAGAATTTCAATTTTATGGGTTAAAATCGTTCGCCAGCTCACATTTGTGTACTCGGTCTAGGTACAAAACAGAGCTAGAGGTTAGGTTGGTCAGTTTGAATGTCCTTCCACTCAGCTGTTTTTCGACTGTTTAAAAACAGGATTCGGTACCATCTGTGTGCTAGAGGTCAAAAAGGAAGCTCCAGAATCGAGTGTTTATTTCTAGTCACACATTGACCTGTGAGGTGTACTAGACAACAGACACATTATGAAAGCGGAGTAAAAGAGCACCGCAAAAATGCCCACAACAGTGACGGCGGTTTTCAGCGTACGTATGCTACGTGGGATACAGATGCAACAAAACATTGTCAGATGGTGAATAATAGGCAACCATTGTATCCAGCATCAACAACGATCACAACAGTACCAAAAACCCTGGTTGTTTTCATAGAGTAACCACCAACCAAAACGCCTCAAGAAAACATGTCGGTGGTGGTAGGATTAGTGGGAGCACATTCCAGAAAGTGAAATGGTGATACTTCAAATGAGATTTATCTTAACTAGTTTCCATCTAAAAATCCAGTAAACATGAGCAAAACAGTATTTCAAGACTATTTTACAACGAGATTTTCAACCGCGATTGACGGAAATCACAACAAGCAAATAGAAAAAGAAGTGAATTCTGTATAAAGTTTGATCCAGACTTCATGATCATGACTAACTATAAGAATAAACCTGAACTCTCATGGACATCAATGTGGAACCAAACCAACTTCAGGTCTAAAGTCAAGCAATGGCTGAATATTGACGTTTTTTAATTCGAATAAAAAATAACGATAAACGGTTTCCGATTCGGGAAACGTACAAGGGACTGAAGTACGGCAGTGAAGCATCAGTGGCAACACTGATGTTGCTGTCTTTGATGATGATGATGATGATGATGATGATGATGATGATGGTGACAAGAGACTGAAGGCCTCACATTTGTAGGAAACATACTGAAATATGTTGTTGGTTTGGTTTACTTGACATTCAAAGAGCCTATCACATCACGCTATTTCTACTACCTTTGCCCACCAATCAGTTAATCTGTTTTATTGTTGATGCCACAAGTTTGGTCAGGATGTGCACTTTGGCATTCCAAGGCTCATCAATAAAACTTGTGATTGAAAAGCCTTGGGAAGTTGAAACAAGTCTCCGTTAGTCGTAGCTCCACCAACCTGTGTAGAAGCAGCCTGCTGATGTCCAAAAAAAGTGGTAACCTCATGAATGAAGCTACATGAAATGAGATGAGGAAGTACAGTTCGATAAAGGCATTCGACGCGTCGCACAGCAGAATTTGATCTTGACAGTCTGTACATCTGACCAATGACTGTTAGATCTCCGCCCACTGTATTTGATGTGTTGGCCATCCTCACTGAGTTCGATATTTCGTCCAGTAAGTGAAGTCGATGAACGCTGAAAAGTCTAGAAGCACTATACAGCCGTTTCATTCTTCTCATCAGCAGTACGAACCTCACAAATAGTTTTTCCATACCTTGAGACATTTGGTCTCGCACTAGGAAGACTTAGAGAGAGGACTGACCTTTTCCACCTTGCCGAAAAGGGAGAGACAGGTTAAGAATCATCGGCCCAAACTGGGATGGATAAGAAACGGTTTAATTTCCCTGAACCAACCGATTTAACAAAGATGAGGGAACAGCGGTCTGTGGTCACAGTACATGGAATCGACAAAACTGTGCAACTGCATTGCTGATTCTTCATTCCCATAAAAACAGGGCGGCTCAGCCGACCCGTCTGCAGATGAACCTAAGCTTGAGGACGCCGTATAGACGTGCTCGGGATAAGATTACCACAAACAGCAAACGAACCCACCAGTGTTCCTCACGGTTGCGAACTTCGAGAGCGGAGCTATTTACGGTGAAGGCGAAAATGTGGAGACTAAGGAGTCACTAAACTTACCTTGGGTCTGATGGCAGGATACTGGAATAATTTGACCTTGCCAAAGTCGTCTGCGGTAGCAAGAAGTGCAGAATTGGAATAGATATTACATGCATTGACGTCCGTCCCATCTCCACCATCCGGCCACACGCCAGTCACACACCATCCAAGGGTACATGTTTGCGTGGCCCAGTCGACGTCACGAAGACTGCTGAGAGATACCACCTAGAAAATGAAACGCAAGATACGCACAGTGAAGACAGACATCTGTCGCACACCCAAACCATTCCGTCATTAGACATTCCCAGGGGTATGCATTTGTCATGGCTTATTTCCTGCAAGAATTCACGTCACCGCGGCCAAGGCAACGAGGCTGCTCTTCTGCAATGTTTGTCTGTTTCTGTTTGATTCTGAAGCCAACGATGCTATGAACACACGAAGTTCACAGTCCGGTAACTAAGTGTGCATGTCCCTTCTGATGACCTTTTTTAGCTATTTAACGTTACCGGAATCCATTTCAGTAAGGTTTAAACAAAAACAAAAATACTAATAACAGTCAAATATTTGTTATGCTGTTTTTGTAGTACAAAAACATCATATCCCCTAGAGGTGTTGCTCTCTTGAAGAGAACCCAGAAGCCAGAACCAGAAGATGATGAACCTTGTGGCGCACACATACAAAACAAATCTGCACTAGACACCCACCTGTCTGCAATCATTCCCTGTCCAGAATAATAGCTCATAATCCCCGGATTCCGAACGTAAGTAGCGACTATCGGCAGACCAGTCAATGTGTAGGACGAAGCTCGAATGTCCGGAACATCGGCCTACTCGGCTGTACTTGCGACCTCCCTCCAAAACCTGATAGACATAGATGGAGTTGTCACGAGAACCGAGAGCAATGTACTGGCCATCTGTAAAGAAAGTGATGATAACGCTCAAAAGTACTACGAGTGAAAAGAAGCATTACATAATACTAAGGGGGTGGACCTGTAAAATGGCTTGTCAACCCATGGCACGGTTGAGACGACATACGGTGAAGGCCTCTCTCAAATAGCAAAAGGAGACAAAACACCATTGAACTCAGAAACTAAATAATATGAAACAGGATACAGCTAGAATGACACTGAAGTATTACCTGTCACTTCGGTGAAGTCGACTTTTGAATGAAATCAACTTCGTTTTCGCTAAATAGAATAGGGTTAGAATCACGAGCAAGGGGTGAATACATATCCACAATCTCGTAACTTACTCGGGGAGTAGGAAATGCACTGGATTTGTTCGCCGATTCCATCTGAATGAGCAGCGATCACTTCATGCCGTATGGAATCGAGCACAAGCCAACGTCCAGACGTAGAACCTAGCGCGATAAGCGGTGCAACGCTTGGCGCAAACCCATTCGGTGATTCCGGCCGATCACCATTGACAAGGCCATCCACATGCTCCGCGTAAGGAGGGTAGAAGGTGGCACAATGGATAGGGTCGTTGAGCTCTTTGGCCCATACAGCCTGTTTTGACAAGGCATCCCAAAGTATCACCATGCGATCATTACCTGCGGTCAGGAACTGATGTGATTGAGGGTGACTTGCCAGACCCCAGAATTCATCTGAATGCCCAAACATGAGTGAACTAAACTCCATGCCGGGAGCAATCTGCGATGAATAGGTAGAATGCCGAAAAAGAAAGGAGAAACAAATAGGTTGATAGCACGCTCAGGGGGTTAATTCACGATGAAGCTGCTTGTTTAAACATTTGCAATCTCTTACATCGTACTGAAATGTGATAACCTACACTGTGAAAAGCTATTAATGAAACCTTAGAGATAAAGCAACAACGAAGTAACAGCAAAGGTGAATTGAAACAGTATGGATATCAAAGGTGCTCACCTGAAGGATGGTGTTCCGCGTCGTCCCCACTAGGAGTACATCGCCTGGACCTTGGATGATTGTCCGAACAGAACCGTGCAATTCAGGCAGCTCCTTGACTTCGTCTGTAGGATTTAGAGCAACATCAAAGAACACAAGGCGACGGTCTTTTCCACCGCCTGATACCAAACGACCATCCTTGGTTACACACAGGGAGAAAATGCCGCCATCGTGGGCGTTGTGACAGATTTGGCTGATTTGATTTGAACCTAAGGAGACAGAATTATACAAATTCAGTTGTGAGAAGGTGAACTGACCACTATGATCAAGTTGATCGTACACCCCGTTCACTTCCGAGAAGACGTTTCTGTGAAAGGCGCGCGTTGCCTGCCTAGTATTCACACCTTAGGTCACTAGTTGATGGTTGAAGTGCCTTCGCCAAATTGTCAAGCAATAGTTCCTTCAGCGCGTTCCAAGAGCATTAAGGAGTCGTAAATGCCTGTGTGTTTTCTGACGCTTTTATTTAAGTTTTAACTTAATACAATACCGTCCAGTGTAAAGCCCTTACCCACGAAAGCGGCATATTTTACGCGGGAATTTAACTGGATTTACGTCCACATCTACGTTACACCAGTAGTAAATCATGTTGTTCTCGTAAGTTTGACGTAGGAGCACATGCCCTCCTAAAAAATCATCAAAATCTGCAGCTAGGAGAAACCTACGCACGATTGAAGTCAAGTAGGGTAACCCGAATCGAATCAATCGAGTATTTTTAGGTATTCATTCTTAAACGGAACCAAGTGAAGATATTATGAATGTCACACTTCTCGGCAAATTTAACTTTGACCAATTATATTCAAGCCATGCAGGGAGCAGAGCAGCTGGATTTGCTTTCGGACAGTGGTCACCCTTCATGGCGGGTTGACATTCGCTTCCAGACTTGGCTGCATCACCGACCTACGCCAACATATGCCATCAAACATCAGGTAATGCTATACGCGGTTTGCAATCAGCTGCACGCGCAACCAACAGGAGGGGGCAGTTCTAAATCATTGGCATTCTCAACTGGTGATCCATAATTGTCAAGCTAAGTGGGGACAACTGAACAGTTGAGATCCAAAGGAAGCAGAGGCGGTCTAGTGGCCCCCAGTGCCCAGAAAACGTATCCCAAGAACAAAGCGGCCTAGCCAGTATCAGCCAATATTCAGAGTGGTCTGCACAATAACAGTCACAGAAAGTCCGTGCTATCAGCACCGCAGGATTAACGCTCCAGGATCCTCACAGTGTTGAAGTAGGTGTTTTGCAGATGTGCACACGAATAGATACAAAATTCATTACAACAAAATGCCAATGTGTATTGAATATGCACATCGTTGAAAAGAAAGGAAGTACGGGGAATGAGAATATCTTTTCGGGAAAATCGTCCCTCCCCTGCCTCGTATACTTGCATATCATACGGCGTAAAACACGACAAGAAAACGGTGGTCATAAAGTGTGTCCATCTTACTTGAATGCATTCAGTGAATAGTCAGCATTGAGTTTACGCATCGCGCTGATTAGGTTAAGCCAGAACAGCTGTCCGTATACTGTCAATCCGGTAGATAATAAGTTTTCCCGGTTCGGTTGAGCTTCCGAATGGGCAGTCTTTCTTTGCACGAAACTGATCTTTCTTATTTATCACGCTTAATCGTACACAAAATGGTATTTTTCTTCTTCGGTACTTATTCCTGGACAAGTAGATGGGCTGCGAGGTCCGGCGTACACAAAGACGAGAAGTAATTCGCGAATTCACAACTTGCAAACGTGTACAAGCTACAGCTATTATGTATGCACGAAACGTTATCGACTCGGCACATTTCGCCATTTGCCAAATGTCACAAACAAAAAATTCGTCGGCGTGCGAAGAACGCCAAACTGACATAGGACAGGGAAAATTATGAACTCACCGTGTCGCCACACAATAATGTTCCCCGAGGAGTCGCCAGTTAACAGATCACCATTTTCAGCAAACGCCATGCACAAAACAAACTTGGGTTTATCACATGAGATTTTCCCGGTCTGCAGGGTAAAATCGACCACGAGAGTAGAGCTTTTTAACCAAACGTAAATTTACAAGTTTCACAAATGTGGTACAAATAGGATTTTATAGATTGTGTCGTGTCCTACGGCCAGATACGACGGTCGCGAATGAACTATGTAGCTCCATGTTGAGCTATTTCAGTTCGTTCAGCTGTGGCACACTTTCGCTGAAAAGCTACCACGAAGCTTGATGGAAGAACAAGAACTGAGCTGCCGTCGGGTTATTGAATTCTAGACAGAACAATTCGGAGAACAAAGGTTCGGCACAAACCACGTACGTAGAAGCTAGTAGCCGGTACCCTAATCACTGAGCTATTCCGGTGAAAATCGGAAGGAAGTTCAGAACGAAGTTTGCATGACCATAGTGTTCAACGGTGTCCTAAAACTGGCGATGGCTTTTTCAGCATAGATTAGATCCACTTATGGAACGCAATCTTCAGTAGAATTCCCAAATCCCCTCTCACACTACTAGCAGAATGGTATTCTTACTTTCAACAAGACGGATGTAAGTACAACCGGTTCTGTCACCAAATCAAGTAAAGTGATGAGAATGCAACAAGTTAAATAGAAGTCTAAGGGACAGCGCATACAGACGATTCGAAAGTTAACGCGTCCAAATGGATTACTGAGTACTATCACGCATTGCAGAAAACTCACACGTGCGTTGACCCACTTGTGGAGTGAAAAATGATATCTTGTACATGGCGGCACCAAAGTTGAATGTTTTTTATTCAACCGTGGGACATTAAGAGGATACACTGACGTTATTGGTTAGTTAGATAAGGCACAATCGTAATCAGAATGGCCAACAACGTGTGTCTGAAGTGAACACAGAACGATTCTTCACTGATAAGTGGGGGGTGACAAGAGGTTTGTGAGTCTTTAAGGGCGATAAGTCAACAGTCAGAATATAGTGTCGTCATATATGTTGCTTTCCCCGGCAAACAATCGCTGTGCGCCATCAAAATTGAATAAAATCAGAGCAAGCACAGCCTGAGTTGTCGTTCGATTTAAAAACTCCTTAGAATTGAATCAGTACTGAAATACGAATTTGTAAGTGGATCATCATCACGAGGCAACCATGCCACGAAACTGGAGGGAGCAGGGAACACGCGATCACATTGTCCTGTGTTAGATATAAACTGATGCTTACTTCAAATATGGCTGACTTCTTGCTCAAAGTATTGCCATCCAGAGTCCAGAAGTTGAGTTGGTTCTTCCCACAAGTTACGATAGATGATTCGTCCAGAGGATGAAATTCAGCGGCCACCACCGGGTCAGTGGAACACTGTGATAAATTGATCAAGAAACAGGATACAAAGGTTTATGGACAGTTTAACAAAGTTAGATGGCTAAGCAACGATCAAGAGGCCAGCTAAAATAGCATGAGGGTTACCTCGATAAGACTGAATGATATTCTAACCTCTCCACTGCTAGGCGCGTGAAATGTCTCATACTGCTCAGTGTGACATTAAGAATATTAACACTGCCAACTGAAGTCATGTAACGGAAGAATTTCTTGGAGAGAATAAAGCTCCGAAAAAAAGGATTCTGTGGTCCCCTCGGTATAGTTGTCCTATCAAGATGATACCTGTTTGAGAATATATAGAACCATACTACAGCCACTGCAAGTGGGGATGTCCTGATTGATCAGAATGTCAATCAGGATGGAGCATTTAGAGTTCGGCACTTTTCGGCCCCTCACGAAGATTCTAGCGTGACCTTGGGGAAAATTCTTTGACAACCCTATAAATATAGCTGTAATAATTTTTCTGTCTCCATAAAAGACTGTCTAATGCTATAGTGCCTTCTGATACACCACAACAGACGAAACAGAAAGCAACATGGGAGTTGTAACACCGCTGGCAAGACACAACAATTTTGTATGGAAAAGTCATCAATGTCCAGGTGTGAAAAGTCAGGATACACAAAGCGCTTCGCGGTCAGCTTCATCTGTGGAAGCTGAGGAACCAAGTCATTGAGGATGTGAACGACAACTCGAACAGGATGTCGATCTAAGCCACCGAGTTGAACTAGAGAGCATAGTTGCAAATGACATTCAAACGTAAAAATGCACACGCACTATTGAAGTTGGGAGAGAGGTAAAAGCAACAAAAGTACTTCGTAATGGAGAAAAAGGGAAAGGATAAACGGATGTCGAGTGATGAAGAATGATCGTATAGCCAAGCTCCACCCTAAACAAAACACAACGAAATAGAGAAGAGTTAGGGGATTTGAATGACGGTTAGTACATTGGAGAATCAAGGAGGCAAATAATCATGGGCTGGGTCAGCATTTTATTTCTGCGGTGCGGGTAGCAGAATGTTAGTAAGAATGGAGGGCGAGCTGAAAGAATAGACTGAAAGAATGCCGTGCTGTCACTACTGTTTGCTGTACCTAAATGATCTATATGGATGAGAGTCAATGTAAGGCGGTAGAAGTACGCCTAACTTCCCAACTTTCATTCAACTTCCAATGATCTGGTATGATGTCAGCGGTCCACTTATTCTGATTGAGGCAGGCTGTCCGATAACAGGTACATCTGGCATGCAATAAGACACACTGATCTCTAGGTTCTTGATTAAAATGCCTTACACTTTCAGTGCAACCGATTAGATCTACCAGGTCAACAGTAACCGATCACAAAAGTCCTGGGGATAAGATGAATTCCTCAGGGCGTCGACCACTTGCAATTTCCTCTCTATTGTTAATCTGTATGGTAAAATTTCCTGAGGTGGTATAAATGGTTCCGGGCCGAACTCAGTCAAATCTAGTGGGAAAACAGCCCACTCGAGGCAGAGGTCTACGTGAAAAAGCCCCTGTGCCGGAATGTGTTAGAAGTCCAAAGTATCTATGGGTGGTAAGGATACTTTTGTAACTTAATCGTATATCGAAAATGCTGCTCCGACCTACTATTAAATTTCATCGGATGGTAGCCAATTGAGGTGGCAGGAAACAACTTGGCGTCAGCTACTCATTAGTAGGCAAACACAAACGTCAAATATTACGAGCACTCGGGACCTCTTGTGATTCGTTAACAGAATCTCATGGGACACGAAATGGCATGGTCCGTTTGGCGTTTCTGGTTGAAATAGTCCCCATGCACTTTCCTACTCACAATTAGACCCTGCGGTAAGCCAACCACCTACACATGCTCCAGTGAAAGCGCAATTCTGCGATGGTGATCAAAGTTTGCTAGTAAATAATTGCTTGTGTTATGGATTTATAGCTCGAGATTGCCTATCAGGAAGTTTACTATACTGATGACTGTTGCATAGCCAATTCCTAATATGACCACGCGAATATCCACGGTGAGAAGGAGATAAACGAGTCTCCTGACAAAACGATAGTTATTGTGCAGCAGCATGGCTGCGTACATTCTTCTAACCACAAACTCAAATGAAATGAAGTGATCACTCCATGCTGTACTTTCCCCTCGAACATGGGCTACTATCCGGTTTTTCTTTCCACAGTTAAGCGAACAAAAACGGTCTGTGAAACAAGTTGAACTTCGAAATTGAGACAACTACTCATCAATAGCAAGCTACTTTTCACTATCGATCTGTGTGGGAAAACCAGGAAAACTGAAAACGAACCTTTGTATCGGTGATTTTCTTGCCCTTTTGCCATTCCCACACAGATATTATATGGTCCTGGGCGTCATCCACGACACAAAGACGAGCACCACCATCCTATAAGAAGAGACAATATGTACATTTAGTTTATCAATGCACAGCAAAGAGAAAAAACTGGCATCGGATGTTAACCCCAGCACAAAACCAAAACCCATTTAGAGTGTGCCTCTGGCATTATGTTTTCTCCCATAGACGAATGAGGATCATTCGTTAAATTATGGTGAACTCCATGCATCTGAGGAAATGCATGCCCCGAAGTATCAAAATAGTGAAACATCTTGTAGGTAGATACGCGTACCAGCGACAAAATATGAACTAGTACTGGCCAGAAGAACCCTCTTCGAAGTCACGCTAACGATATCAAAGGGGATTGGAAATTATATCTTACTTAACTGACCGAAGCGCAATCGAGTCAAATTGGTACATATTGAGTGGTCGATTGCACTGTCGTGTTCCAAAAAAACTGCCGGGACGATCGATGCGCGAAACAACTGAATATTGTACACATCCTTGAGTTTCTTTCCAAAATCTTGTGAAGATCATGAGGTCGAGGAAGAAAATAGCTACCTAGCGATTTTTTATTGTAATATGAATCACAGGAGGGACAGTCAGGCAGTCCAGATATTCTATTAAATAGCGTCAGCAATCACAAACAAGAATTACTTGAAGTTGAGAAATTCTAATGAGCGTTTAACGGAGCGGTTATGTAAAATGAAAGTAAGGCATTCGTGTCTGTCGGGGTGTACAGTCGGTGAGCAACAACCACGCCCAATGAACTGTCTGAAAAATGTAGTCACAGTCTGAAACCATGAGTTACGTTCACTCAAACCGAAGACTATTACGCTGGTTAAAAATGCAAAACCGATCGCTTATAGAACGGTACGACAGTCGCACAGACAAACATACACGCGAACTTAGTCCCACCGACTAGCGCAGACGGCCTATGAATAGTTAATGGAGAGCTGACTGGTCAATATTGCTGTCAGTTGATGGGAAGAGGTCAACTCAATGAATGTGGATGAACGGTTATTTTTGTACAGATGCAATGAGAAAAATCATAACACACCACATAAAAATGCAGTCTTGTTGAAAAAAAAACAATGTAGGACGTTTGGGTGACCACATTTTCATTCATCTAACTGACAGGTTGACTGATATGATTAGACACACACCAATGTCAACCAGTGACTGTCGAGTATTAGGGTGTATGGGAATATTAGTGAAAATATGGTCAAGAAAACCAATCGAGAAACTGTTGAACAAGAGCCTGATTGAACATCATGCAAACGAAAAGACAGATGCTGGGGCTGCGAATCGAATTCTGTCGCCTCTGCATAGGCTCAAACGTGTTTGTTTTGTGTCCACGATACCAACGTCAAACCAACTGTGGTCACCACGGTGCCACTGAAAAACATGTGGCTGCTGAGCCATCGCGGTTTATAGCGGTGCATTTCCGTCAGCACTTATAATAACTCGGATGATAGCAGCTCAAGCACGACAAGCTGAATCGAAATCGTTCACCGTTCACGTTGGGTTGAACCATGCCCTGGGTCGTCCAGTGAGTTGGTATCAACAGCTCAGAGGAAGGTAATAAGACATCTCGTGAGATATCTCAGTCGTTGATGTGTTAAACTACTGACCGGAAGGCTCATAGTTCGGAACAAAACCTGGTTCTTTGACCGCCCCCGTCTAGGGTTCGGTAACTTGGCACTATCGACTTTCGAAGCAGTCATGCATCGGTAGAGTGATACAGTTGGATAGATCGATTTTTTGGGAAGGATGTCACCACACTGTGATGACAGTATTCTCTGAAAGGAAAAATTCGATCGTTTCACTCTGATTTGCGTGGTAATCGACTATTCTATAGCCGTAAAATTTCTGCGAATGAAGATGTATCACAATCTTATGAGCCTTTGGCGGGGGATCAGATCAAGGTCTACCGATCAGACGGACTTAGTTTCAGAGCCATCCCTGGCTTTTCGACTACTTTTGTCCTAGATTGGGTGAACTGATCGTATTTCGGACCTCGCTTTTATTTCCAGTAGACTGACAGCTATCCCAGAGCCGAACACTTATTCTTTATAGCATTGCTTCCGCAGGTACCCGCGACCAAAAACGTGTAATCTCGAACTGTTCCCAGTTCTTAATGTCCAGATATCCTGACCGCAGAGGATAACAAAATGGATGATAGGTCGGCATACACGCTGCGTCTTTAGACTGACTTAATGCCCTATAATGCACTCAGCAATTGCAAGACAGCAACTCTTGCACCGTTGAGGAGGCTGAGTTCTTCGATAGCCCGACTGCTAGTGGGCACGGATGACGCAAAGCACTTGAAGGTTTCGATTTGTTTAATCAATTCGCGCAGAAGGATGACCATGTGCATAAGCTGAGTATCCTCTTTGTGCGATTAGCTGCGCTTGGGATAGTCACCTCAATGACAATTATCAAGGCTTCATAGTGAGCAACTTTTGTCACTAAGTTTCTGATCACTTGTCAACAGTACAGTAAGGGAAGACGAAGTTCGATATGACAATAAATCAAGTACAATTGTTAGTCTTCAAAAGCAAGCGTTTAAGTAATTACACGGTTCAGTAAGATCATATTGGGAGTTGAGCAATTCGGTACACTGACGAGTGAAAATGGAAAGGAATATTATAGCACTGTAGGTAAATCCATCTATCAAAGGTAAACAATCGATTTACTCCTGGGCTTTCAATCACCAGTTTGCTTCGGGAGAAAAGGTTATTTGATTAGAGTCTAAATCACACCATGCATGCAAACAACAATAGGTTTGAAGAGTCTTGTGGGCAAGGAAAAATGGGTGTTTCAAGCAAGCCGGGGTAATTTTGTACAGGTGTATAAAAAGATACATGCAGGGAAATAGGTAGCTAGAGTCACTTGAAATGTTTTGAACCACGCCCATCCAGAAACTGCGCCCTTGGCCGGATTTAGAGCGAAACTTAGCACTGCCAACAAAAAGATCATTGTTTAACTGAAAGAACCATGAAGTCCGGGTATGATAGTGAAAATATTACAGTAGTATGTCTCCATTTGGGAGCGAGATATCAGGATACCATCGAAACTGGTCATTCTGAGAGCATGGTCGATAGGAAAGAAGGCACAATCCTCGCTAAAATATACAGGAGCTCTATTACTCCATAGAAAAAACATAGGTGTTTCCATGACTAATGTACTTGAATTCCACCACCGATCCCCATCACTGTGCGATATTCACCTGGGCGATGGAGTGATCAATACAGTGATCAAAATGTTCGCAACACTTTAGCTGTGTTGAACTCTGTTGGGCATATACACAACCGAATGAATCAGGGCGGCTTCCGCCTTGAAAGCACTCGTCTAGAATAAATTTTACTCTGTATCGAATAGTAATAGATTGCCTCAAGTACCAACGACGGTCAAAAGCCTGAACCTCGACGTAGTAGTCAGCTTGGTGGGTTACAACGACCCTCCACACTGACTGGAACTCCGTTCCACAGGGATTTGCAATGCCACAGAAGCCAAGGAGAGCAGCAAGACAGAGAATAACACTCACAACACAACCAACGAATGTGCTGATCAGCTGACAGACTAATGATTCTCAATTGGGAGTCGCTGGCTCATTTTTTTGGAGGCGTGACCTGTGCTTTCGAATGGTTTCAGAAAGGAAAAAAGTCTTACTTGGTTAGGACATCCCGCTCTGCCAAACTAGGGGTAATCGGATAAGAACCTAATTATTGGCTCTAAGTAACAAACTCGATGAGCTTGAAGCTGACGAAATCCATAATGGGAGACCTAAAAAGGACATATGAACGGTTGCGAATACAAAATGACACGACCAAACCACCTAGTAAACGGCGTTCCGCATCAGAGCTATCCACTACTGGACGTCCAATCTTTGATCTGCCGTCTTTCACACTGAACTAGTGCCAGCCAAAGTACTGCGGTTCTCGCTACCTAGTCTTTTATCATCGATGATTAAGAAACAACAGTGAAAATTGGGATAATTATCTCGACAGGGACGTTCGATGGAAAATGTACTGATTACTGACTAGGGGTAAACAAAGACCCTCGAACAAAAATCAGAATCATAGCCACACAGCCATCTGAGAAACGTTTTATTTCCCTCTGCTCCTGTCAATTGAAGTTAGTGCAGTAGGTTGTGCTCTTCAACACATCTATTAAATGCGAAAAAAGCTTACTGAATCTGCTCTCGACAAGTCAAGCGAATAAACAAAAGGGTAGTACGAACATTATTGCTCCCACTAGACCGTCTCAGCTCAGTGATTGTGTAACTCTATTTGAGGCGAGAACGCCATAAAGAGGATGTTATCGCAACGATGGAGCACAAAGGCAGTGAAGTGGAACGACTAAGTCATAGCAACACGTCGTTTGCACCTAACGCGTTACGCACCGCCTGGTCCGAAAGGTGAAGAGGTGGAATACACATACTCAACAGAAACGCGCGAAATTTTAATCCTCTGTTGGAAGTGCTTTGGTCTAAACAAATATTACTCACAAAAAGACCTCGACTGGTGACGTCGAAATACTGGTAGCTCGGATGCGCTAATAGGTTGCTGATCAGGTGTATGTTGGTCTGTTTGCCGAGTTGGGTAATTTGCTTGCAAATATCTTGTCACCACCAATCGTAGGGATAGCATCAATGCGCGGTTGGGTGAGTGGGAACGCCGCAGTAATTAGAGAGCGTTTCCCACCCAGACAACCGCACACTCATGCCCCGGCCAACTGCGAAGCTTGGCAAACAGATAAACAGCCGCCTGATCTGAAACAAGCGTTTCTACTCCTATGAACTTTACCGTACCACAACAAACGACTGTGTGGCTCGCGCACACCCCTCAAATGCCGAATAATCAAGAGCCTATGGATTGACAAAAAGCGCTGGTGGATCACAAAACCCCGGGAAATATAGAAGGATTCTGCAACGGGGAACAATCGCACTGTTCCACATTATCCGATCAATTGGTTTGATGGTGGGTGTTAGTGAAACGATCCCCAGAAAAGATGGGACCTCGATCCATTCACAGGAACGTTAATTTGGACGACGGCCTGAGAACTTTGAAGATTATTCCAGCTGGTCATCATCAACTCCGGAAGTACCAAGTGAACTCCGGTGGGACGTCGACATCAGTCCGCTATGGACAACAAAGTTCATCGCGCAACCTCACCGCTTCACTACAAGCACCTGAACCGGACGGTTTGAACCATGCACTCTTCAAACAAGGCTACGGGTCTGTCGTAGCTAGCCTTCGAAAAAATTCCCACAGAATGGGGCGCCTGAATTGTGATTTCCATATACAAAAAGGGTATAAGAACATTCGGGGCATCAGTCTAGTGGCTTTGGTTTCAGGGTGCTCTCCATTATTACCCTGCGCATGTTGATGCTCATCAGGAGAATGATATTGGCGAGAATCAAGCTTGGTTTCGCCCAGACGGGGCTGACACGCATGTGTCTACAGCGAATTCTCTCCAGAGTTCGCCACATCCACTAGTGTCAGGTGTCTGTTGCCCTTCAACCCCGTGATCCATACGCTGACTGAATCCTCTTCACTTACATCTAACACCTCGGGTATCCAAATAATCGCTCACAGACATCGAGTACGCCGACAACATTACTTTTCTTGGATCAGACCCATTACAGACGCAAACTTTATCAAATAACCTAAATAATTCCGATGAATAGTTCGGTATCCAATTCGAACCTATAAAGTGTAAATTGTTGCTGCAAGACTGGTTGGGATCAAAAGCAAACATGGTTGCAGGTTAAGCAAGCGATGTAGTAGATAAGTCCGTTTACCTAAGTAGCTGCATAGGTCCCGGCGGTCTGGTGAAAGACGGAATCACTTCCTGAAATAGGAAGGCCAAGGCAGCGTTTGCAAACCTCCAACATTTGTGGCACAAATGAGACGTCTGCTCGACTGTTAAGGGTGGAGTGTACAGTGTCGCGGCCCGATCGGTTCTACTTTATGGATCCGAGAGGTGACTACTGCCTGTGAAAGACCTTCCAAAGCTCTGTTTGTTTGACCATATGTGCTACTGAAAGCATTGCGAGTCTGTTGGGAACACTATATCACCAATACCGGAGTACTCCATATGGTTGTGCCATGCACTTCGTGTGACAGAGGACTATTTGTCTCGTAAAAGCCCTTTTTGCCAAGCCTTGTACCGGATGGAGACTGCCCAGGAGCAGTCAGTGATTTGGCAACGAAGCACGAAAGACCGGTCAACTCGGTCGCCTTGGTAAATGCTGTCTCCCCGGATGGGGACCGCGGAACAAGACAAAACAACGGCTAGTGACCCTGACAGATATGGTCGTCACGCATTCTTGCATCGAAGCTATCGCCCTCACTGCAGAGCTCTTAATCCCCGCTAAAGCGGACAAACAGGACTAATCGACGCCAGTGAACTGATTAGGCTATCGCCTCCAACATGTGGCTCTGTTTCGACTATTCTCCTTATCCTCGATGAACGAAGTTGTAGCAGCTGGAACCTGCACGGTTCATGAGCTGAATTGACCGTTCACACATTATTTTCAGCAGACTGCTGAAAAAAGGACTACATTAGTATCGAGCGATTGACTCGGCTTTTACCAGTATCCAGCAACTCCGTTTTTACTTCTCCTCAATTTCACTGAGACCCAAACGTCTTCTCAAGACAATACCTGATATTTCTCAGCATTCAGATATGGTCAACCGCATCTCGAAACATCCTCTGGGCAGCAGCATTGTGCATCAACACCCGCTTATAAAAATGTCGTAGTTCTCACCTGATGACATCAGATCCATCGTACATAGACAAAATTTTAGAACTAGCATGTGCTTTGGTCTCCACCATAACAACTTCCAGCCCTTCCTCTTTGCTCCCTGGGTCACTAGATGCTTAACTGTGTATACACACGTACGTCTCTGCATCCCGAGTAAAACAGTTGCCCTGGAAAATTCACCACCAACGGCAAATAAAAAACATTCCTTGTTTTGTCTAAGCTATTACGACTAGTTTCACGTTAAACTCCAGATCCCATTGGCTCTTCGCCTGCACTACAAACTATGGACCTGGCAGGGACAAGTGGATCGACGGTAGTGTTGCTGCCAAAGCGTGCATGAACTCGACGAAGTTCGCAGGATCTGTATTCTTCACCGTAACCAGCTACGCCGGAAGATTTAACTCAGTCGACAGAGCAAGGTTTGGGAAAATTCGAGCTTTCTGGTGCAGATACTTCAGACTGAGGAAGCGATTTGATTTTCCACTGATGCCAACAGGGGCCCACGAGAATGCAGACCACGCCATGCTACTGGCGTCCAAGACCAGTTTAGACTGACTTTCAAAATTACAATACGATCGAAATCGAACGTAGATTACGTAAAACGCAGGTTATGCGCAAACACGCGGCTCAAATTGCATGAACCATCTAATCGACTTCGAGCGCTCCCAAATTCATGTGTATGCTTGACTCCGTTCTTCAGTTTCGGAGGGATTGTGCCTTGCTACAAGCCGGTCCTATCGCCTGGAAAGTTTACCCCAAAACAGAATACGACAGTCAAAAAAAGTGGATCGAAACGGAGCGTTCTCTGATGTAAGCATTTTGCTCTAAAGGGTAATTATAGTGGATGAAACTCTAACAGACTGGTGGAGACATGTCAATAGGTCACGAGAAAGACATCCTACACCATAAACCACAAAACAGCCGACTTAACGAGCCGCTTTTCGAATCAGAACACTTAAACACCCGTGTAAACAACGAGCACGAACCTACCGTTTTTGAGAAGGAAATGCAGCAAATTCCGCGGCCAAATTCACCTACTCCGAGAATACGTAGCGTACGTAGATCAACCGAACTCCAGATGCGAACATGAGGCTTTTGGATGGACGAACAGAAGAAGGAAACGAGAGCAAGTGTTATGATACTTCTATGACTTTTGAATCAAAAAAGAGTGTGAAGTACTTACCAGTAATTTGTGGGCGAAGTGCATAATCTAATGGTTTGTGAACGCAGCAAAAAAACAGAAAATCGGGTTGCTTGTCGAACCATGGTATTTCCGGTGGACATACCTCGATCTGCATTTCTGGTCAATTTATACGAAATCCAAGTGAATGAAAACTAAAGCTAGCCGGCGGCTTTGACGAGAGCAATTTTCGGGAAATGGATCACTTTAATGACAAATAAAAACACAGTAAAGAGAAATACACTCATTTGCAAATCAATTTGGTTTTCACAAGCGACTCAACTGAATCTCTCGTTTATGATATTCTACAACTGAATGTGCTGCACAAAGGTGATGAGCCCCAAGAAGGGCGAAACCGGTCGTGGGCTGTCGAAGAGTTTTCAGCAACCTTGTGAGTAGTTTCCTTTATGAAAAAACATTACATTACCTGACGCACCTAGTAGAGTTCGGTTCAGTAGCAAACCTGTTTTGCGAATGATAGCTCACTCGCTTTCTGGATCGTAGAAGGCAAGAAAGCCCATTTGGGAGTTGGTATTCGGCGTTCATTTTTTCCACGAATGGTGAACCGAAAATACGCAGGCATTTTAGAGGAAGGTTAGCCAAATTTTCGTGAAAATATGCGCGTGTGTAAGCAAGCAGCTGCGCATCCGACGAAAGGAAATAAGTTCATTGGGATAACGCCAAATAGGTAAAAATTGAGCCATTACAATCTAAACGGCTGGAGCGAATCGAACAGGCGTTTACTGCATTCACTTGCAATCAATTGACCTGAAATCACTGGTATACGGCTGCACAACGCTCCATTGTGCCGGAGCTATGCAGGGCTATTATCGACAAACTAGTAAAGCGAAAAATGAGTTGCTCTGACGTGCTTGTGCCAGTGCAATGTATCTGAAACTTGCGGTCTCATAAGTCGGTAAGGCTGTTCCAGTGTGATTTAAGTGGGAAACACGACACATTCATATATTTGTTCATATTCGTATGCATCAGGGTCAATGGTCGACTTCTTCGATGTCCCCGAGGCTTCATGCCACACGATCGAATCCGGTTTAAGACTGACTATCGACGCTGAATCAGCTATTGTTCTTCCTTATAGTAGGCCAGCTAGGAATGATTGAGCCAAAGCAGACAGGCCCTGGGTCAAAACAACTAAGGTTCGCAACGTTACCTAAGACGGGGAACGCCAACTTGAACAATGAAACCTGGGAGCTTTTAAAGTCGGGAAGGGTACATACCAACGTCGATGTTATGTGTTTTCGGGGACAAATCAGAAAACATGCCAGTAACATGGTCTGGACCGTAAGGAAAGACAACGAATATTACCGCGCAAAAGTGAACACCAGTGAGAGATCGGGGCTTAAAATTACAAGGTGTTTCAGAGCGGGTAGTACACGTTCAAAGGAGACAGTCCTGATATTCTGAGGCAAACAGTAACTAAATGGCTGGCAAACTGATTATGTGAAGTCCATCACCAGGGTCAGTACGGAAATCAACTGTCGAACGATGGACGTTTGATCCATGGTCAATATGTAATTCCTCTAGGGTTTTCATTTCGAGAAACTTCATCTACGAAGGAACTAACTGTGCTGACATCAGGACAATGAAAGATCAAACAATGATGGCACACTGAAATGAGGCTAGTGTACCTGACGCTGCCAATAATAAACGGTTTAGTTGTAACAAACACCCTTTCGGTGCATAGCTGCCATACCACCCGAATGAAGCACGAGGACTGAGCTAGCGCCGGGTTGCCCAGACCTAGACAGGAACAGTCGAAGTGCTGAGGTTGGGTTCGAACTACAGACTTCCCGGTTAGTGAATTACCGTCTTAACCACTGAGCTAACTCGGACTCACATTTAATGATGGAGGAACAACAACAAGGACAGAACTAGTGTGCATAGATAACTAGAAACACTGAAAGTTTCAGCCGAAATTAATCTTGGGAGTGGAGCCATTCTGTTCTGAAAGAAAGGACGTACTGGAATTTTCACTTGGGGTCATCCACGAACTCGCCAATTGAAGAACCAATCGGCATGTGTGACCACGTGATGTGTCCCGCGATTGAAGAATAAGTAGCGCTGTATTCTGTCTACGTGCTAGTTAATCACATTGTTGATAAAGCAATCGTGGACAAACGGTTGATTGCTCAAACTACTAGTTGGAAAGTCGCTGGTTCAAGACTCTTTGGAATTTCCAATCAGGACAAAACAGCTGTACACTGCTCCCCGGCTTCTCAGCATAGATTGGCTTCACTGACAGGATGAAATCTCTATTGGAATTTCCAAATCGCCTCAGTTTATGGACATTGTGCGAGTTAAGCCTATTTTGAAGACGCACACTTTTCGCGGCGTGCTAGGAACGAACCCCACATTAGCCAGCGGGCGGTGGCCGGATATCGAAGCCTAGCGGATCGTTTACCATGTCTATCAAAATAGGTTATTTTATTTTTCATATTCTCCTGACGAAACCTCTGCAAAGGCTTACTCGCTCAGGCATTCAGTATTCAGTTGTTATGGATAATCTGTTTCCACCCACAAAGACACTCTTTTCTAATCCATCATTCTCCTGAACAATTAAGTTTGCTTCTCGCGATTACGTCTAATGAAACAAGCTAAGTAAATACATCGCATCCCATAAATGCAACAGATTCTTCAGACGCTGAATACCAGTCTATTGTGATACAGCCGACACGAACAGGTAACGTTAAAGGATGGTGAACAATGGCCCGTCCAAGGAACTTATCATACACCACCGAAATGGGTTATCTTGCACATGAAATACAAAAAATCCAGGTTTCTTCTGTGGTTTGATTTTTTACCAGCCGCTGAGTACCACATTTAGTCGTCATCATTCAGCTGTAGCACTCTTTCTGTGCTTAACTGTCATGCCACCAGAAGGAAGCACGAGGGATGGGAGGCTGCCAGATTGCCCAAGTATAGACAGGAAAAGTCGAGAGTCAGTGGTCGGGTTCAAAACACGGACCTTCCGGTCAGTAAATTCGCGCTCTAACTACTGAGCTACCTCGTCCCGCCACGTTTAGTAATTGTTTTCACTTAAAAGGGTGGTGTTAAATCGCTTGGCTTCCGGAAACTACTTGCTGTATAAAATATTTGGCTCTCGTCGCAGAGTCAACTAAATCAACCATGGAACTGAGCGTTGCACAATTTACTTTTCAATGTGACTAAATTCGTGTCACACAACACTACTAAAATAATGCAAATTCCTGTGACACAGATCCTTAAAAGTCGGACTATCGTTTGACCCCCGGGGAAGCTGAAAAGAGGTCACTTTATTGCACTAATACTCTGCAACGTGTGGAAAACACGGGGATGAGATAGTCCCAACCTTGTAGAGCTAAGACGCCGATCAAAATAAAAACCTAATGCTTAACAGCCTCTGAATTGGTTAAAGGAGTAGGTACTCTCCCGTCTGCTTCCGGTGTTGCCCGAGTAAACCATTTGCGTGTAGCAAAGTATTCCCAAAAGTGCAATGGGCCCTGTTCTGGTAAATTATCCTTCAGTCGTCGAACACAGTTTAATTATATTCTAATACAGAAGTGAGCTGCTTCTGTAAAACAGTTGACTGCGACCAGCCACCCCAAGAACAAGTATCGTTGCTATTTAATAAACCAAACCAACAGGCCGTGCACTACTCACTTTACTCAATGGCGACTGATCCTGGAGAGGGATGGGTCGGTTTTAGAAGTACCTCATGTACGCTGCATATCGCTAGACATTGTCCCCATAGCAACGAACAGTACGCGGATGCAAAGACTGTAATCAAGATTATTAATTAATAGGGTCTAATGTCAGTAACCTCGGTAATCATGGCACGCAACTTGACCATTTTGCAAAGGTCTGCAAGTCACTAGCCGCATTATTGTCATGCTAAAAGTACAGTTTCTGTTGGTCTAACAGTCTGAAAAGCTCGTCGCCTGTCAAACACGGATGTCCACGGGAAACGGCCACGTACTAGGGTCTGAAGAGAACTGACGAGAAAAAATAATTGCCGCTCGCTTGACGGGAACAGTAATATGTCCAGTCAATGTTAACAGAACCAGCAAACTGACCGAAGATAATTCGCGCGGTGCGGCTGTGGGCAACTGTAGACTGGAAACGGTACGATGGCTTAAATTGAATTGTAAGGATATTGAACAAACCTCCAAATGGCCTTAGAGGATTATGAATGCATTTCTTCGCTCAAGCACCACGGAACTGTACACATATGAACTCTCACACGGATTGTCCGAAGATGGCGGTGAATTACCCAATCGACGCTTAATCGAGCAACTTACCTCTATTTTTGAAAAAAGAAGCTTGTCCAGGACAACTAGAGGGAATCAGTAATAACGTCCGTTTTCAAAAAAAGGCCACTTGTCGCTCGTCGTATCATGGTGCCTCCGGAGCAGCAAAGAGAGATTTTGGCAGAATCTTCATTCTCCGTCACCAGCAAGAACAACGCCATACGTATAGTTCAGCATTCCTGAACTTCAAAGGAACCTTCGACTGTTTTGACCGGTTCATTCTCCTTGACGCGCTTGTTCACCAGACGGCACCCCAGAGGATTGTCAATATGATACATTCTTGTATTCTTAGGCTTCCGAACACGTGATACTATATGGGAGCGCTCCAAAAGCTTTCCTATGCAAAGTGGTGTTAGACCAGGATGCACGCTATCTTCATTTCTATTCAGTGTTTTGATCAACGAGATAATGGGACGGACTTTAGGATAACTTAAATATCTTCAAAGTCCTGATAACAAAAACCATGTCAATCTGGAATATTGGGGTGACAGAACTCGCTTCCTCGAAGAGCAGAAAGCACAAGTAATTTTGAATGGGCTGATCAGTCATTCCATCCTTTGGTATGCACTTTGCACCCAAAAAGTGTAAGGTCATGCTCCTGGATACGTCAATTATACTCCAAGAGGGAGCACATGAAGTTGCAGGGCGTTTTACGTATTTTAGAAGTTACACTTGTCCTGACTGGAGTGTGGCAGATGAGGTCAATGTACCAACCTTGGGGGCGCGACTCAGGTTTACTAACTGAAATATTTATGGCGGCAAAGCGATATACTTCTGAATTGTATGGGGTTACTTTACGGACCGTTTTGTCATATATATATATATATATATATATATATATATATATCACCTCTGTTAGCATTTCAAGGCTGCGAAACCTGCTGACTATTCATCTACTCCGGATAGGCCGGATGAAATACCCAAATGGAACTTATCATACACCACCGAAATGGGTTATCTTGCACATGAAATACAAAAAATCCAGGTTTCTTCTGTGGTTTGATTTTTTACCAGCCGCTGAGTACCACATTTAGTCGTCATCATTCAGCTGTAGCACTCTTTCTGTGCTTAACTGTCATGCCACCAGAAGGAAGCACGAGGGATGGGAGGCTGCCAGATTGCCCAAGTATAGACAGGAAAAGTCGAGAGTCAGTGGTCGGGTTCAAAACACGGACCTTCCGGTCAGTAAATTCGCGCTCTAACTACTGAGCTACCTCGTCCCGCCACGTTTAGTAATTGTTTTCACTTAAAAGGGTGGTGTTAAATCGCTTGGCTTCCGGAAACTACTTGCTGTATAAAATATTTGGCTCTCGTCGCAGAGTCAACTAAATCAACCATGGAACTGAGCGTTGCACAATTTACTTTTCAATGTGACTAAATTCGTGTCACACAACACTACTAAAATAATGCAAATTCCTGTGACACAGATCCTTAAAAGTCGGACTATCGTTTGACCCCCGGGGAAGCTGAAAAGAGGTCACTTTATTGCACTAATACTCTGCAACGTGTGGAAAACACGGGGATGAGATAGTCCCAACCTTGTAGAGCTAAGACGCCGATCAAAATAAAAACCTAATGCTTAACAGCCTCTGAATTGGTTAAAGGAGTAGGTACTCTCCCGTCTGCTTCCGGTGTTGCCCGAGTAAACCATTTGCGTGTAGCAAAGTATTCCCAAAAGTGCAATGGGCCCTGTTCTGGTAAATTATCCTTCAGTCGTCGAACACAGTTTAATTATATTCTAATACAGAAGTGAGCTGCTTCTGTAAAACAGTTGACTGCGACCAGCCACCCCAAGAACAAGTATCGTTGCTATTTAATAAACCAAACCAACAGGCCGTGCACTACTCACTTTACTCAATGGCGACTGATCCTGGAGAGGGATGGGTCGGTTTTAGAAGTACCTCATGTACGCTGCATATCGCTAGACATTGTCCCCATAGCAACGAACAGTACGCGGATGCAAAGACTGTAATCAAGATTATTAATTAATAGGGTCTAATGTCAGTAACCTCGGTAATCATGGCACGCAACTTGACCATTTTGCAAAGGTCTGCAAGTCACTAGCCGCATTATTGTCATGCTAAAAGTACAGTTTCTGTTGGTCTAACAGTCTGAAAAGCTCGTCGCCTGTCAAACACGGATGTCCACGGGAAACGGCCACGTACTAGGGTCTGAAGAGAACTGACGAGAAAAAATAATTGCCGCTCGCTTGACGGGAACAGTAATATGTCCAGTCAATGTTAACAGAACCAGCAAACTGACCGAAGATAATTCGCGCGGTGCGGCTGTGGGCAACTGTAGACTGGAAACGGTACGATGGCTTAAATTGAATTGTAAGGATATTGAACAAACCTCCAAATGGCCTTAGAGGATTATGAATGCATTTCTTCGCTCAAGCACCACGGAACTGTACACATATGAACTCTCACACGGATTGTCCGAAGATGGCGGTGAATTACCCAATCGACGCTTAATCGAGCAACTTACCTCTATTTTTGAAAAAAGAAGCTTGTCCAGGACAACTAGAGGGAATCAGTAATAACGTCCGTTTTCAAAAAAAGGCCACTTGTCGCTCGTCGTATCATGGTGCCTCCGGAGCAGCAAAGAGAGATTTTGGCAGAATCTTCATTCTCCGTCACCAGCAAGAACAACGCCATACGTATAGTTCAGCATTCCTGAACTTCAAAGGAACCTTCGACTGTTTTGACCGGTTCATTCTCCTTGACGCGCTTGTTCACCAGACGGCACCCCAGAGGATTGTCAATATGATACATTCTTGTATTCTTAGGCTTCCGAACACGTGATACTATATGGGAGCGCTCCAAAAGCTTTCCTATGCAAAGTGGTGTTAGACCAGGATGCACGCTATCTTCATTTCTATTCAGTGTTTTGATCAACGAGATAATGGGACGGACTTTAGGATAACTTAAATATCTTCAAAGTCCTGATAACAAAAACCATGTCAATCTGGAATATTGGGGTGACAGAACTCGCTTCCTCGAAGAGCAGAAAGCACAAGTAATTTTGAATGGGCTGATCAGTCATTCCATCCTTTGGTATGCACTTTGCACCCAAAAAGTGTAAGGTCATGCTCCTGGATACGTCAATTATACTCCAAGAGGGAGCACATGAAGTTGCAGGGCGTTTTACGTATTTTAGAAGTTACACTTGTCCTGACTGGAGTGTGGCAGATGAGGTCAATGTACCAACCTTGGGGGCGCGACTCAGGTTTACTAACTGAAATATTTATGGCGGCAAAGCGATATACTTCTGAATTGTATGGGGTTACTTTACGGACCGTTTTGTTGTATGAAGGTGAGACGTGGCCTCTGTAAGCGGTCAAACTGAGAAGTCTTCAGGACTAACGTTGTCTAAGAGTCATAACCTGTGTAGACTGGTGCCGGTGAATCCACCAAATAATTAGGAAACCAGTGTTCGGTTGCGCAACAGAAAATTCAGTCAAAGGATGTGTGCAGCACCATAAGTGAGGTGGTTCGGTAATGTATCATCGTTTGCAGACGAGTGCTGTTTCCCGTGCCCAATTCAGAGTGCCGCAAACAGAGAGGTGGTCAACCTTTGACCTGAAAAGGGGAAATGAAATCAGTGCGACCAGCCTTCCAGGATGGAGTCCTGGTGATCTTATCAGTGCATGGTTGATGACGTTGTAAGATATGGCTGCTAATGGATGTCAGTGTCCGTTGACAACTATCATCTCCATGTGGATATTAGCCATAGATTGATTGTTCTGTTCGCCTTTATTTTGAGCATCCAGATCCACAGAAAAACATAAGTACAGTATGGAGTAAAAGTTGAAAGGTGGTGTAGTTGGATATGGCTGGATATCGGGACTGACGTAGCAAATGTTATTGAAACAAGCCAAGTATAAGGGGATCGCTAAATGAACGAAGTATTTGTCATTTGTCTGATGAAAAGAGAGCTTACGAACCAAGGCCTCGTAGGTGTTACGCCCTTCAGTTGGCTAGCTAGATGTAGTCTCTTGGTCTGAAGATTTGCCGCAACTAGTTTCCCAATTTAGGGCACTCCAACAATCTTACAATGATAACTGCTGGTCTTCTACCTTACACTTCTCGACTGCAGATTTTAACGGTCCCCCTGTCAAATTGTGATAGCCTGGTTGTGTTCTGGCCATCAGACAAGCATGAGTTATACCAATAAAACCATCTCCCTTCAAATCAAAAGTCGCCCGATGACGCTGGACCGCACACCTTATCTGCTACACGCAGCGGGACGGACAAATGAAACTCCGCTGCTGTCAGAACATTTGAACTTCTGTCATCCGTACCAATTACATTCTCTCCCCTCCATCGAAAGTGTATTTTTAGGGTTTCCATTCGCTTTTTCCGATGTTGGCCCACTTGTTTCACTACCCCTTTTCCGTTTTTATGCATACTTTCGCGTCCGCCCATACAATCAGGCGTACAGACACACAAGCAAGCGTGAACCGGCATGCTCAATTTGTGAATTCCATCCGCTTGATGATCGTTCAATTTTGAACTCCACTGTCAATCGACCGTAGTTCAGCGGTACTTGAGAGATTGTAGCCTGTTGCACGGAGGCTTAGTTGCCAGGTGGGTGAAGTAGACCCTATCGTGGTAAACTGGCATAATTTTCATTTGGTTTGACCTTGGGTCGTCCATGCAGTTCTGCATGAAAATAAATCACTAATAACCACCGATAGTGTAATGCTCTCAAAGCTGACGACAAGGATGGGAATGGCGTATATATA